CTCTCTCTGTCTGTCTCTCTCTGTCTCTCTGTCTCTCTCTCTGTCTGTCTCTGTGTCTCTCTCTGTCTGTGTCTCTCTCTGTCTGTGTCTCTCTCTCTGTCTCTCTCTCTGTCTGTCTCTCTCTCTGTGTCTCTATCTCTTCCTCACTCTCTCTCTCTGACTCTCTTCCTGCGCTGCCTCCATCCGGCACAATTACCCATGGCTAATTTCACATCTGTGCTGAATAGTAAAATGTCACTGGATATACAAACGCCCCACATGCTTTACTTCTGAAAGAAACATTCTCCCTCCAGTGATCACACGAGATGCTCCACTCGCCTACTGTTTATGTTGTTTACCGCCGAACAGAAAGCAGTGATTATTTTCTGGCTGCCTCTCATATTCTGAGCCCTGTAATTTTCATCACTCAGCGCTGCATTTCATTCAAATGAAGATCCACTTAATGTTTGGAAATCCAAATGAATGATAGCTTAACCTCAATCCTCGAATTAAAAATTGAGTTTTTTTTACTCCATTTTCTTTATGGAGATATTTAAAGGCCGGGACTGGTGGTGCCGCGGTTATTAATAGATAAAGTATTCTTTGCAAAAAATGTCTTTTTAATTCGCAGAAATGGAAAATCCCCAGAGATGAATTAAGATGCAGAAATATTACCAAGGTACACTGTGTTTGTACAAGGCTGGAAATCCCTGAAAATTTTTTGAAATGTGTTTGAATTTTGAATATAGTGTTTGAAACTGTAATTGTCACCCTTCTGTTGAATGCTTTTACAAAACATAATATTGGACTATTATAGCACAATGGAGAGGCGAAGTCCCGCCCATCTACTTCTGAACCATGGGACCTTATTTCGGAAAAATTATGTATTGAAGTCAATGGAGAGAGAAAGATTATCTTTCGATCCCGTTTGAATTGTGCCATGAATTACACATATGATGTTTGTCAATCTTAAAAAATCATTTCCAAAAAAGTCAGTTTGTCGTAAAACTGTTGAAATATAAGACGATGAAAAATACACAACTAGAAAGACTACAAATCCCAGAATCCCGGCTCTCACGGAACCGACTAACTCCCCTTGTGTGGATGCACAGCTCTCAACACGCCCAGACTTGGAGTGATTTTCACCTCTTTTAATACTTTCCGCCTCGTTCTGAAAGAAAGAAGTGAAATGTTCAACGTGACGGCCGTCTTGGTGTGTGGTGCGAGATGGGAGATGTAGTTCATTGAGCGGTTTCACACACAATGTGTCACTTCACAGTTTTACCACACATTTATTTTTTTTTAACTTGCAAAATTATCTTTTAAGATTGACAAACATCATGTGTGTAATTCGTGGCACAATTCAAACGGGATCAAAAGATAATCTTTCTCTCTCCATTGACTTCAATACATACGTTTTCCGAATTAAGGGAGGTCCCCCGGAAAGGGAGGGACTTCGCCTCTCTATGACATCTGAAGTTGAAGACGTAAAAGTCATCAGCATAACGCACAATTTATACGATATAAATATGTATTTTACCACAACCAAAATGTGCTGTAAAAACCCCTAAAAAAATGCTTTCATTTGTCTGTGGAAAAGGTCTAGGAACCCTGAACACACATATTAGCCGTTTGTAACACAAAGCCACGGTTCCACAGAGGTTACGTCAGTAATGTGTTGGTTTAGTCGTGCAAGTGGTTTTTGATAAATCCTGATTTATGTGTCCCTCAGCCTGCGTGGCAGTGGGAAGATCTGGTCCAAGTCCAACTGAAGACTGAGACGTGGAGACAAGGCACTGATGGACACTCACTGATTCACGGACACATGTTGACGGACAAACGGATGATCAAAGACACCTTTTACACTCTGCACAATAAAACCAGGAAGCTTCATGGGAACCTTTCTTCTCTCCTCTTGTCACCACGACGGATTTAGAAACACACACCGGCTGATGGAAGATGACAGGTGTGACATCCACTGTGCTGTTTCTAATAGCCTAATTGGCTAGTGCAAACACACACACACACACACACACACACACACACACACACACACACACACACACACACACACTTGTAACACATGATAAAACGACAGAATGCTGCAGGAGTCCGTTGCCTTTGACCAGAAACAGGATCAGTGTATGTATTGGTTTAAAATGTTCCTTTTTGATTTAGATTCATTCTATGTTGCTCTGTAATTTTTTGTCTTTCTTCTCTCTGTATAAAATCAGAATATAAATTGTTTGGGAAATAAAGCAAAGCCGTGTACTTACCCTGCCCGTCTCATTAATGTCACTGTCGGTTCTTTTATTACATGCACTTCAAAGTGCATCTCTGGAGGGTGCACAGCTAAATGCTAACTCGCAGAAGGGGGGCTACCGTTAGGAGGTCAAGCCATTAATTAGGGCACGTCCCTAAAGAGACTAATGTATTATAGAGCTGAGGCTTCCCCTGTGCGCAACCAGCATGGATACACACACACACACACACACCAAGCGCATTCATATTTGATGTGCATATGTTTTGCCCAGAGCTTTTATTTCAATGTCAAAATTGCTTGTTGAAACTGCCTGAAACCCTCGCTGTTCCTCCTCCTCCGCGCAGAAAGAAACGTCCCTAATCATTACATTCCCCGCCCTTCTCTAAATTCTCTATCCGCTCTTAATCCTGCGTGACATTAATGGTGGCAATTATCTGACCAACAGTGAGAGGGAAATGAAGATCCTGTCTCATTTAACCCTGCATTTTTCTCCACACACACCCCTTCCACCTCTATAAATAGTCTTGTTAATTTGAGTCGGTGTGATTGAGCTTCATTTTTTTTTAGCAGAGCTGTGATTTCTAACAGCTGTTCACCTCGCAGAGTGTTTGTTGGCGAGGAAATGTGTTTGTTATTGGTGTGAGCGATGACTCGGCAGACCTGAGTTCACACCCAACTTCTGCTTTAGTTTTTGGCCCGCCCCGGTTACGGATTACTGCGGCATCTCGCTGCTATGTGTCTAATAACTAGACGCTCGTTAAAACTTCAGAGTGGAACAAAGCCAATCAATTAGTTTGATTGATCAGTGAAAGCCCAGAGGAGATGGAGACTGCAGCACACTGGGTGGAGAATCTGGAATACAAACGAGTGGCACTTGTCCCCCGGCGGCCTCCCTAATTTTATTGACATTCGTGTGAAAAACTGTACACAGAGCAAATTCTTGCTTAGCATCCTGTTAATCTTTCTGAAGCGAGAGGAATCCAAACAGGGGGATAAAGAAGCTTCAGACGCAAGAAGACGTTTTGATTCTTCGCCTCCCTTTTCAGCGCCCTGTCACTGCTGATTGGCACATGTAGGACTCTTTCATTCCCAATCAAATCAATACATGTCGGTGGACTAAACGTTTACTTCAAGGGGAAACAGATTAAAAGACAGCGGCAGCTTTTCAAAAATGCACAGTGTAAGCTTTGTCCTTCCCACAAAGCATTGCATTGAGGAATTCACTCAGCATGCACAGAAATAAGCACAAAAGCTAAAACGCCAGTGTTGTGTCTTTATTGAACTTCCATGGTACAGAAAGACCACATTTTCTACAGGAATGCTACTAAAAATCACAAGACTCGATATCTGGAGGATTGCACGCATGATGCCACCAGCACTAATGTCTGAAGTGGAAAGACGGGAAAGCTGTTTAGAAAAGTTGCCAAACACAAACTGACATTTGGCTTTGAAAGGCTCTAGAAGACGTCACTCACTGATAGATAAAATAGACATTTATAAATAATAGATTTTCTGCTACTCTCACGGGTTTGCTTACTGTATACATGCAGAATCATCGGAGAGACAGAGATGATGTGCCTTGATGTACCACTTTCCTTTGGTGCTCCCAAGACGGTTGATATACGGCGACTTGAAATGTGATATGAGAGGAAATTATGGTGGGGTTTGTTTTTCCAGATTGATATACTTGGCTGTCAGGTGGAGAAAAACCCTCGTCGTGGTAACATCCGTCCTCTGATCACGCGCACACATGAATCTGTCTTTGTTGTGCGCCATCCAAAAAAACCGTTGAGAATCATTGATTTTCAACGCTTTTGCCTCCTCTATCCACTCTGAATATTTTATCTCCTGCACTGAAAGTACTCTACGCTTAAAACAGCCCTAACACAGTGCAGCAGGAACAGAGGGTGCCCACAAAGAGGTGAACGTCAGCCAGATAATGAAGGAAACAAATCATGAGGAAAAAGCCGAAACAAAAACCGACTCCCGCTACACTACAGAGGAAAAAACTAAAAACACACTATTTGCATTTCAGGCGCCCAAAGCGGGGAATAAACAGCAGATTTTGGAGCGTGACATGTTAAACACATTGCCTGTTGGCTACGGCCCTGCCAAACAGCTTTGTGAAATACCCCATTCAGTGTTTGGAGATGCTGAGAATGGCTTCTTTTTTTAACCATTTGCAAACCAGATTCAACTGAATTGAAGTGTCATTTGATGAGTGGGGGCGTGTGGCGCAGTGGGTTGTCCGTAGGTGTTCGGATCAGGGGGTCACAGGTTCAAACCACACTGCAGTCAGCATGTCCCTGGGCAAGACACTTCACCCCAAATGACTCCTGTGGTGATTGTCCACTGTATTGAGTATGTAAGTCACTTTGGATGAAAGAACAGTCTGCTGGATTCAAAGGGACACTGGTCGGCTTTACAAGTGCATGTGGGGTCAGCTGTGGAAGCACAGGTAGGGCATTTCAGGGGCAATGGGATGTCGAGCGTCTGTTAAACTGATTGTTTGTGAATTAGTCATGGCGGGCCGAGGAGAAGAGCTCAAGGCTATGAAGGGGATGGGTAATAGTGACGCAGAGCCACATGAAAGAACATTTAAACCGTACAAAGGATGGAGGCGGGAGCAGCGGGGAGATGAGTTTGGGGTGTTTAGACCTCGGGGAAGTGGAGGAGTTTTGTGAAGGCTGGATATCTGGGACCCCTGGATTCAATTCACAGTTTCAGAGAAAATAAAACGGCGCTGCGGGCACACCCTCCGGTCGGATTGATGCTCCTCCTCGGGCCCCGTAGATATGTTTACCATATGGAGAAACAGTCACCTCAGAGGTTCACAACTGGGATCCTGACACAGCAAGAGACACAGAAGAAGAAGAAGAGTCAGAGGGAAAGAAAAAAGGAAGGAGGTTTGGGGTTGTTGATGGAGAGGAAAGACAGAAGATGAGAGGGGAAGGGGTGGCCTGAAGCTGAAGGAGCAAACGGATAAAGCTGCTTCACAGGGGACTGAGAGGAGGAGGAGGAAGATGGAGGAAAGAGCTGATGGGAAGAAGGAAGTGAGAGGGAGTACAGCTCTATAATTATCCTGATCGAGATTAACTTTAAATACCCTCGAACAGGCACGTGCAGAGGATGTTAGAGGAGCACGGGGCCACATTAATCAAAGGGCATTAGTGTACTTTTATATACATATTTGCCAGGGATAACAACTTTTGTGACTGTTTTAATAATGTATTTATATCAAACAAACAATGAGGTTGGCTCAAACACTTCTACATGACAGTTACTTCATGATACATGCAAATAAATTAGGTATATTTCAGTCTCTGTGCACGTGCCTGTCAGAGGTGAAGAAGTACACAGATATTGTAAAAGTACCAGAGTGTAGGAATACTCTGTTACAAGTAAAAGTAGCGACAGTAAAAGTAGTCATTGTGCAGATTGGTTCATTTCAGAATAATATATATGATGTGTTTTATAATGATTGATCATTAAAGTGTTCTCAAAGCTGGTAAAGGTGCAGCTAGTTTGAATGACTTTGTATACTGCAGGGTCAACCCAGTCTCACGGCATTTCGTGTTATAGTCACGAATTGAATCTATTGATTCGTGTTCACCGACACGATCTCCCCATTTTTTTCGTGTCACACAGAGCGATTTAAAAAGCAATGTAAATAATAACAAATTAGAAGGAAACAAATATTTTAAAAATACAGATATCAGTATTCTCATTTATTTTCCTCGCGGACGGCAAAAAAACTCAGACATTATACAATTTCAAAGGGTTAGGGTAAGAAAATGTTTTTATGAACCACACAGCTTCCGGTCTTCCAAGACCCGACCGGACAAAAAGACGTGGCACGAAACATACCAATAGAAATACATTGCTTTTAAAATCGTTCTGTGTGAAAATCGTGTTGTGAACACGAATCAATAGATCAAATTAATTTCGTGACTAAAACACGAAATGCCGTGAGACTGGGTTGGCAGGGTAGCTTGTGAATTGACTCCAGGTGGAACTAAAGTCTGATTTAAGAGTTGATTATATTTCACATCATTAATCAAAAATCTGTAGAGTAACTAAAGGTATTAAATACATGTAGTGGAGTAAAAGTACACCATGTACCTCTGAATTGTAGTGGAGAAGAAGTATAAGATGCAGCTTGGGGTAATAAATACATTATTATATGCTGCCAAACTGGTTGGTATGTATCAAAGTGTACTACTGTTACTATCAGGGTCCCATGATTTGGTACGGTTAGACCAGAGCACTTTAGTGCAGCGGTCAATCCTAAAATACAGATGTACCTCTGAACTGGTAGAGTAGAAGCAAAGTAGGAAAAAAGTACAAGTATCTCAAAGTTGTACAGCACTAGAGTAAATGTACATTACACCACTGACTTTAAACACTCTCTAATAAAAGCATAATATCGTGGACTTGGCCCCACTATGACTCATCTGAAGTTAAAACACTGATACACTGCAGGCCTGGTCTCTCCTCAGAGACTCCATCATCAGATCCTTATAAGACATAACAATCCAGAGGTGCACAGACACACACACAGACTCATCATTACCTCTCCCTGTTGGTGGAGGAGGAGTGCAGCGTCTGCCGGCTGTCCTCTGGAGCCAGGGAGCGGGGGAGAGCCAGGGAGAGCGGGGGGGCAACGCCACGGGAAAGCGGGGGTGGATGCTGGGAACAGCTGCGGTCGTAACTGGGAGAAAGAGGGATAGTGACACAGAAAGATTAGGAAAGAGAGAGGAGAGAAATCAGGCGGAGAGAGGATGCAGAGGGATGGGATGATGGGACAAGGAGAAGATGGGAATTGAGGAGGGGCAGGAATAGAAACAGATGAAAGGACTCAAGGAAAGTTGGAGATTGATAACAGTAAGAGAAGTTTAGAGAGTAGGAAATGATAGAGAATATAATATAATCCTTTATTGTCATGATACAGGTACAATGAGATGAGTAGAGCTAAGGTGCTTTCAAAAAACAAAACAAGAGACGTACAACATTCAGGAGAAGACAACATATAAACAACAAGCATTCATACTTCAATACGCAGATACAGTTAAAGTGCAGGAATATATCGGTTTAATATAGAGATGGAAGGACTCAAGGAAAGTTGGAGATTGATAACAGTAAGAAGAGGTTAGGAAATTATAGAGAAGGGTGACATGAAGGGAGATGGATACAGGAGATACAGCAGAATGAAAGAGATAAGAGGAAAAAGAAAGAAGCAGAGAGAAGGATGGGAATTAAGGAAAAAAGAGGGATAGGAATAGAAACGGAGATGAAAGGTTGGAGTTGTAAGAAGAAAGACAACAGTAACGGAAGATTAGACGGAAGGAAATTATAGAGAAATGGACACAGCAACAGCAGAATAGGATGGGAGAGGAACAATATGGGAAAGAAAGAAAATGTCACGACCTTAACACAAACTGGAGAACCCAAATGCACGACCCAATGAATGTAGCAACACAACAGAGTAGGTACTCGATTTAACAAAAAGCGCTCACATGGAGGAAAACACAAGCGTAACAAAAAGAGAATTTAAGATTTACTTAAAGGTGGGGTAGGTCATTTTGGAGAAACCAGCTCGAGTGCGCTAGAATTTGAAAATACACAACCGGAAAAAATCTGCCACTTCCCTCCTCCAACACACACGAACGCGCACATGACCAATGAGGGCACGAGATACGTTTGTGCACAGATGGAAGGCTGACAGGCAGGTAGGCCATCCAGTTATTTTAGTGTGTATCTCGAGCCGGTTTCTCAAACTTACCTACCCCACCTATAAGTTTACAAAAATAACAAAATAACAAAACCTGACTAGACTGGAAATTATCCTCTCTTTGTTGAAGCCTGGCACGACCATCTATGGAAACAAATAAGACGAACTGACACAGGACAGGGGGAGACGGGACTATTTAAACATGAGCTGAGTGGGAACCTGGCGGGGCAGACGCTGACGATGGCGGGAAAACACACATGCCTCTTTCACAAGGCTTTTCCCATTCTAGCTCCGTGCTAGAGCTTTTCTGGTTCGGAACCGGTTCTTCGGTTCAGCTCCCGCTCTGTTCACACCGCTCAGAGTCCGACTGGTGCTGCGTCATTGCGTCATCGTTTGCGCCATGACGTAACCGTTTGCGTGCCTGCTTCATAAAGCCAAACCGCGCGGGAAACCCCTCACATCGACAGTGGCGTTTTTATATGTACAAAAGTGGTGGGGCACAAAAAACGTAGATGTCTATATATAAGCTTCTGCAATGAGGTTCATGGCTGGTGAGGCACTGGCACTGACTCTTCAGGTTTACAAATATTATATTTTGACCTAAATCAAAATATAATATTATTTTCAAAAGCTTTTTTAATCTGACGCTTCAATTAATTTTAAACAGACAGTTCAACAAAAGGATACCCAAAAGATGTAATTTTATCATTTAAATATTTAATTGTTCTCTCTTAGTAAGATCCCATTTTCAATAAAATTGCGGTCTTACCTTGACTTGAAGATGAAGTCCATTTGCCTATCCTTCTGAACAAAAATCTCTATTACTTTTTTGTAAAAGTCCTCCTTATCTTCTTGTAGTTTCAAAAGTCTATCATAAATCTAATCGATATATTTATGATTCAAAAATTATAAAAGTATGGTAGACATGTGGATATTATCCGGCTGAACAAAACGTGCATTTATCTAACAGGTTTGTTTCCCACAGATCTTATTTTGAGCTATTTTCTAAAATCCTATGGAGAAATATCATTGCTTTTTTTGTCGAGGGAAGCTATGCGCAGTTTACTTCCGGGTTTTAGGACGCGTCACTGCAGCTCTCTCGTCTCCTCTTCACACACCACACTTTTCGCGGCACACGTACTTACAGCCAATCAGCTCTGAATGATGTGAGATGACGTATGGTGGGGATGGCAGCTCTATGCCCTTATGGTCATTATTTTTTTGCCACACACATTAAATAGGAAAATATTCTGAGCATGCGCAGTGTAGTTTTTACAGTCACCATTGCCTTAAACAGGGAGAGGGAGGGGCAGGATCGGGTTTTGTCCCACACGGCTCTAAACAGCTCAATAGGCACACACTGTAGACACTAATTAGAAGAACACTGACTAAAACAGCAATGTACAGACGAATCAGATGATTAAACATGATCTTAAAATATATTTTATATATATATTTTTTTTAAATTAATACTTTCTGCTGACACTAGGTGGGGCTGCCCCTAATGACCAGTCGCCACTGCACATCGACAACAACAACAACAATGACCGATTGTATTGAAGCGCTACTCGGTTTGGTTTTACTCTGTCGAAACGAAATGGAAGAAATGGGACGACTTTACTACCAACTTTACAGTCGTTACATGCTACATTCAAAAGTTCTTTACAATCATCATCATCAACTTCAACGACGATTCCGTAGGAGAAAGAAGGTAAATATGCGTCCTATTCGATGGCGTTAGAGCTAGCTGTTGTTAGCCTTTGCATGTGCCACACTCAAAATAACCAGCTTTTACCCACCCATTCATTACTATGGTATAACATTAAAACTGATGCCCCTTCCCCTGCCCCCGCCTCCGACGTAAGCGTGACGTATGCGGTGCTTGCTTTCTAGACCGACAACTTGATGGTGCTTGAAACGAACCGGATTCCGGAGCTTAGAGGCGGCTCCGCTGCGGTGTGAACAGGAAAAAACTGTGCTTTTCAAGCTCCAGCTCCGAACCGGCCCTGGAACCGCGTTGGTGAGAAAGTGGTAACAAAGGGAGGAAGTAACAGGGCCTGAAATGAGAGACAAGAGGTAAGTACAAAATAAAACAGGACATGGAAAACGAGACATGACATGAAACACGGGGACTTGAGATGAAATGACATAAATAGACAGACATGACATGAAAAGACAGACAGAACACATAAAACATAACTAACATATTTGACGAGACACAACAGAAAAGAGGCAATGGGAACGTAGATGAAAGGGTTTAAGGAAGTTGGAGATTTGTAACAGTGAGGACAGATTGGACAGTAGGAAATGATAGAGAAGGGTGAAATTAAGGGAAATGGACGCACAGGATACAGCAGAATAAAGAGGGTTGGAGAAAGAGAGAAACAAAGTCAGAGAGCACCAAGAGCAGCCAGCCATTTAGCATCAGCGAACACATTACTCTGCCACTGTGAGAGAGAATTAGTGCACTCATCGGACTCATTAAAACGCCGTCAGAGGGGAGAGGATGGGGGGTGGGGCTCAGTGGGAGGGAGTCAGAAGGGGTGAGGTAATATGGACAGAGGGGGTGACGCATCACGGAGGGTGGCTTGCCGTTACATTACACCGAGTCACATTGCAAAAGTCACAGGTCCAGCCTCTTAAGCATACTTAGACATAAGAACAGAAGCTGTTGTCAAGAGCCATAAAAGCCATCGTGCAGCCTCATCTTCCTCCAGTAACACCTGTCCTCTTCCTCTCTCTCTCACACACACACCCAAACATACACACACACACACACACACACACACACACATTAGCTACACTGACGATCCTAGGGCTGGGAAAAGCACTGAGCACATATGCCGCTCTTCTATAATCATAATGGACGATGGCCAATTTCCACTATAGGCTAACATTTCGGTCCATCTGTACCCCCCTTCCTGTTCACTCTCTCCATCCAACACATGGCGTTATTTACACATTTATGACACTGAAGCACGAGCCATCTAGAGGGATGCTGCCATGTCTCCAGCCTGCCATTCCCCCCTTTTGTTTTTTGTTGGGCCACTTTGGATCCACACAGCAGCGAGGCTTTTTTTTTTTTTTTCGCCCGTGGAGAATCGAAACAACAGCGAAGGCCGGGTCTCAGGAACAGAGAGAAAAGGGGGTTTATGGTGTATCAGCTCACGGCATGCTGGAGGATTATCTGTGGATCAGCAGTCAGACTGGCGGTGCTGAGGGGGAGATAGGAGACTGGCGAGGGAGATAAGAGGAGTGCCAGCTGTGCAAAGATAGGCAGTGTTAGAGCCATGCCACGACGATAACTGGAAGTATAAGCGAGGAACATGAAGGGGGAAGGAGGGCAACACAGGTATTCAGAGAAGGAAATGGAAAAATCCCTGCGAGGGAAAAGGGAGGCCCGAGTGGGAGGAGGGAGGGTTTAGAGAAACAGAGCGAGGGGGAGATAATGTGGGAGAACATTTTAGATTAAGAGGGAGTATGACAACGACACAGATTCAGGCAATGAAATGCTTAACTATGATACAAATAGAAATGTGGGTAAGATGAGCAGATAAGAGATGTACAGTAAGGAGGAGGGGAGAGAGGAGAGAGGAGAGAGGAGAGGGGAGAGAGGAGAGAGGAGTCCCAGTGGTCAAATAAACTATGTGTTATTGGTTTGAGCAGCAAAGCGTGGAAGTGCTTCACATAGATGCCCCCCCCCCCCCATTTACAGTTAATGGTCATGTGTGCAGCGAGCACTTTCCTTCAAGGCATCTAAAGGTAACACATACAGGAGCCTGTGTTAAAAAACGCTCCACAGGTTTAATGGTGTTCTGTTAAAGCACTCACAGATATTTTGTTTAATAAATGTGCAATTATTAATTATAGCATACAGAATAGTATAGTTTAAAAATGCTGTTTCAGTTTATCATATGGACTTATTTATTTGTTTTCTGTCAAATCAGGTGTCCAGGTATTGCATTTAACCCTTAACTGGTTTCTGTATCTTGGGGTAATTTGACAGGCTGGGTACATGTGTGAAATGGGAGTAATAACGGTGAAATATGGAGGTAATACGGGTCTAATAACAGTGCAACAAGGGTATAATAAGGGTGTTATACGGCTGCACACATGGTGTATTAATGTGTAATATGGAAGTAATGAAGCAAATAGTCATTCATTTTCAGACATATTCATATGTGATAGCCTTAATGAAAACCAAAAAGAAAGATCAGGCATTATGTCCAGCTATAATATATTATTATTTATATTTAAATGTGTTGTTATCGTGCTAGTTATCCCGATTCTTTAAATATATACCTGTAATTTGTTGACGTCTTTTTATTGTAACTGTTAGGGAATTCCTTTTTTTCTATCCTGTAATCCCATGACATGTAATCCGTTACTCCCTATGGACACTGACAGTGAAGCCATGTTACTGCTTGAGACTCCAGTTCAGCCCTAATGGTTACAGTGAATGTTTAATCATTGCGAGTCTAATGGCACTAAATGACACATCTGTGCCAACTGCGACTTTCAGGAACACAAGTGTTGTTAATAAAGTCATTAGTAAGCAATTACTCAGATCTTTCTTTAGGGAGGAACACGTAGAGGCATTATGTAATCCTGAACAACAGACGTGATCGTCAAGCACATGCAAACACTCCTAACAAGGTGTCGTCTTCACACACACACACACACACACACACACACGCACACACACACACACACATCTGGGCTCTTCGTTAAACCCTACACATCTGGCAGAAGTCCATTCATCGTGACCCGTCTGTGTGTAGTAAGTCTACCATTTTCTGCACAAAATAGCAATTTCTCTCAGCCCCATTTTTCAAATGATGTTTACGGATTATAACCACGTCAACAAAAGGTCGCTCTAAAAGTGTTTTAATCCTAAAGAAGTACAATCAAGCAGCCATTAACGAGATGGAAAAGCAAATATTGGACTCGAGTGTGAACAAACATGTTAATATTGTCGAGTAGGAATGTTTGTTTTGTGGTTTTGTTGTCTTTTTAATCATGTCATGGAGTCCTGAGGGGAGTCCTGACCCAACAGGTTGGAAAGCTCTCTCCCTGGATAATCTACAGCTGACCTCAAAACATCCTTAACTTTCTCAGAGCAAAATATAATCCGCAAGATCAACAAAATGCCTTCAGACAAAGCACCTAATTTAACCTCAAATCCTCAATTATAGCCCAATTAAGAAATCCAAAATGCAGTTACAGAGAGAGGTGTTGAGGAACACATGGGTCTGCACCTCGCTGTCAACTTTTAACATGAACAACCCTTGAATCAGGAGCACAGCTGCTGCCCTCCTGCTGTGAGACAGGTGTTCAGCTCGTACAGGAGAAGTTGGCTCATCATTCACTCTCTACCAGCAATGCCCACTTGCAGCCACACACACACACACACACACACACACACACACACACACACACACACACACACACACACACACACACACACACACACACACACACACACACACACACACACACACACACACACACACACACACACACACACACACACACACACACACACACACACACACACACACACACACACACACAGTATTTGGTAGGAAAGAGTTAAGTTTCCCTACCAGAGTTTGGCTGTAATGACGACTGCGGTCAGGAGGAGCAGCGAGGAGATGGTCAAGGTGACGTAGAACTGAGGGTCCACTGTAACACACACACACACACACATTTCACACCATGACCATGTATTATTGTATCCAGAAAAAAAGAAGAAAAACAATGGAAACCAAATGTGAAGTGAGAGAATCTGGCCTCTGGCAACTATGACACAATCCAACGTCGTCCTCGTTGTATCTTGCTTTGTGACATCCTCCCAGTGAGTGATGAGAACTTTATTAGGCATTCCCCGCCACAGACACAGCCGGCTGCACACAGCAGCTTTCACCCGGTGACAGCTAATTCCCCGGAGGACTTGTGGTGTGTGTGTGTGTGTGTGTGTGTGTGTGTGTGTGTGTGTGTGTGTGTGTGTGTGTGTGTGTGTGTGTGTGTGTGTGTGTGTGTGTGTGTGTGTGTTCTCATGGACACCTTTATTTAGAAATCCTTCATGTGCATCTTCTCATTCCCACCTTCCTCAGGCTCCGTCTCCTCCGCCTCCGTCCCTCCATCCTCCCCTCCTCCCCCCCCCTGGTCTTTGGACTTCAGGGGGGGGTCCTCTCCGGGCTGGAAGCTCGTGGGCCAGTGCGCCTCGGGGGGGGTGCTCGCCTCCTGCTGTCCCCCCCCGAGGCCCCCATGCAGGGCTTCCGTTTCCTGGCTGGAGAGGAAGTGGTAGGTCTCGTCCTCCAGAGGCTGAGTGGGACCCCAGACCACCGCCCACAGAGGGGTAGGCGTGACGGACAGCTGGACCGACAGGGCGTCCAGCTGCTGCTCCTCCTTGCCCTCGTTGTCGTCACGGTTACAGGTGGAGGGCTGTGTCACCAGAGCAACCAGGAGGAGGGCAGTCAGTCGAGCGACAGGAGAGATGGAGCTGCAAGAGAAAGCATGAGAAGTGGTGGAGTGACAGAAGTTATCTGAGAGAAAATGTTGTCTTCCTGCACGACCTCATCAGCTCACACATTGATTCTGATGCCAGCAATACATCAGCAGGACATTTAATGCATCTGCACCCCATTTATCCCCCCTTCACCTCTATCCATCTTACCATCTCTCCATCGCTTCGCTCTGTTCACTGAGACTCCGCTCCTCCGATCATCTCTCTCTGTAAGAAAGGACAGAGGGGCAAGAGAGAGGGAGAGAGAAAAGGGGAGGGTCCAGCTTCTTCTTTTATGTTTCCAGATTAAAAAGCATGTAAACAGACACCAGCAGGAGTAATGGCAGAAAGCTGTCATCTTGAAAAAGAAAAAAAACGGACTCCCCTGGGCTTTTAAATGTAACGCTCAATTATGCGCCACATGTTTCTACAGAAGCCACATCTGCAGTCAAAAACACCCAGAAGTACACTCTCACACACATTTACAGTGCACACACCTGCGCCCGGTACATTTATCATCATTAGAAGCGTCATGCACAGAGCCAAGGCACTTTGAGCAGAGAGGCAACTTCTCCATCCAAAGCTGCTGCCTAAATGCCACAGAAATGTCACTTTAGACACAAACGAGCACACAGGGAGACGGACGGAAACACAGACACACTCCGACACATATCAGGTATCATGCCTACCTCTGGCAGTGGAGAGAGGGAATGAGAGCGGGAGACAGAGAGAAACGGGGAGATACAGAGAGCAACTGAGAAAAAAAAAAAGCATCGGTTGCCTTAGCGACTGAGACATGTAGAGTCTGCCAGAGTAAGAGAGGGGAGAGAGAGCGATGGAGGGAGGGAGGGGAGACACTGTAGGAAAGAGATTTAAATGCTAATTATGTGTTTAAAAAAAAAACTGGTTCAATTAAATGGACACGGAGAAAATAAATGGATTTGACGAGCCAAACAGAAATGATAGAGGACGACGTTGTTACGCTAATTACAAAAGAAAACTCTTCAATTATATTTAAAGGGAACCTATTATGCAGATGTTCATATCTGTGTTTTACATGTCTCCATGCTTTAATGTTTAAAAAGCTCTTTATTTCTCTCATACTTCCTGTGCTACATCACCTCTTTTCACCCTCCGTCTGAAACCAGAGCCCAGTCTGCTCCGATTGGTTAGCTGGCTGGCTCTGTTGGGATTACTCAACCGCTTAGAGATGTCCCGCCCCTTATCATGTACAATGTGTTGGAGCACTAGCCAATAGGAACGTGAGTGTTACATAGTGATGTCACTGGGTTACGGAAGTAAACCAAGGAGTCAAAAGGAGGCGTTTCAGGCAGAGAGGGAAATGTAGGTGAGAGAAACTTCCTCTGGAGGGAACTTTGGGATTTTAGTCTTTGCAGACCATTTACATGCACACAAACCGATATAACACACCACAGGAAAAGGCAAACCCAAAACAGCATAATGAGACCCTTTCAGAAACATGCGAGTACACCCGGAGAGACAGAGACAGAAAAAACACAGCAAAGAGGAATAAAGATGGAATAAAAAGTAATTTACATTAATTTACACATTCAGAGCAGGTGAGGAACTGGTGTTTGAACAGGCGGGGTCACATTGAAATAAAAAAAGAGACAACACAAGCTGCACTTTTGGAGGTGAGAGTCACAGGGTGACAGCTTTATTGTATGTGAAAATAATATTTACATAGAAAACAATCTTCCTATCACTCACACACACACACACTCTCACTGCACATACGCTGCCTCCTCCGACACTGTGTCACACTTCACTCCCCCCCTCCTTCTACCTTCCTCCCCCTTCCTCTCATTTCCTCTCCATAGCTTCAGGCCGCGGTGTCCTCGGCATGAGGCACCAGTGCTCACTGGAGAACGCACCGCAGCCACGAGCCGGACCCTCCTTCCTCCTCACCGCCACGCCGCCGCTCCTCTCCTTCATTGTCATCATCGTCCTCGAAATCTAAATTTGACAAGGAGGTCATGAGGATTCGTCACAACATGCATCATTTAAAATGACCGTGATTGTGAAGTCTTGATTTCATGGTTACTCTCTAGAAGTGCCAGTGAATGAATGGAGACATGGAAATGTGTGTGATTGCAGGGTGTGTGTGTGTGTGCGTTTGTGTGTGTGTGTGTACCATCCGTGTCCTCATCATCTTCTGAGTCTCCCTCTGACTCCAGCACACAGGTCTCCAGCCGACTGTCTCTCTTCGCTGTGACATCACCCCTACAAGAATTAAAACCCACACATTCATTAAACAGTTCATATCGATAGAGTCCACATCAGTTATATTAATTTGCATCTCATGAATCCCAGTATAGCTTCGGAATGAGCTGCACAGGTGACCTTGGGAGAATTATGCAAATAGGAAATATAATTAAGGAGTTTGGACTAAAATACTTTTAGTGTTGTTGACGTGTGCCGTGCTCACCTCTGCTTCCCAGCGCTGGGGAGCTGCTCCCACACGAGGAGGTCGCGACCTCCAGTGACCCAGCGGTGGTCTCCGCTCCCTGTGGTCCACGCCGCAAAGCAAAGGATTCTGGGAGCATCGGGCCAGGTCAGAGAGGCCAGGTAGCGACACTGAGGCAGCGAGAACACTACAGGAAGAGGGAGGAAGCAGGTCAACTGGGGAAATGCTCATTCTCAGGTTCAAATGAGTACTTAGTGTCTCCACTGGGACATGTCTCCACGCTCTAATGCTCAAAAAGCTCTTTATTCTTCTCATACTGCCTGTGCTGCAGCACCTCTTTTCACCCTCTGTCTGAAACCAGAGCCCAGTCTGCTCTGATTGGTTAGCTGGCCGGCTCTGTTGTGATTGGTCAACCGCTTAGATGTCCCTCCCCTTAGCCTATCACGTACAATGTGAACCAATAGAAGCACGAGTGTTGCATAGTTAGTGATGTCACTAAGTTACAGAAGTTAACAAGGGAGTCCAATGGAGGCGTTTCAGGCAGGGGGGGGGGGGGGGGGGGGGGGGGGGGGGGCAGTGTGTGGGAGAGAAGCTCCCTCTGCTGGAGGAACTTGATTTGAACCTTTGTAGACCATGGTTGCACTGGAACTCACGATTTAGCGAGCTCTCTCCGTTGGCCAGGTCATAGCAGGAGCCAATTAGGAGGCCTCCTGTCTGGTGCACACAATCTGTTACCCCGGTGACGCTGCTGTGATTGGTCAGCCTGGACATGGTTCCTGTGATAATTGGACAGATGTTAAGGTGGACGTATTATGCAAATCTCCCTTCATCTGCCTGCCTTCTTTATTTCACTCATCCTGACACACACACACACACACTTTCTCGCAATATATATATATAACTACAAAACACAGTAGTTTATTACATGTATATAGACTCCTGCATTTACTTGGACAGCTTATTGTATTTTATTTGCACATTGGTCTTGCCACATAATCTTACACACACACACACACACACACACGCTCACCTGTCCTCCAGTGCAGGATCTTGAGCCAGGCTCGGCCGTAGGACAGGAAGACTCTGTCTCCTCGGGGGCTGAGGGTGAGACGCCCCCCGCCCCCGCAGCCCGTCACCTCCCCCCCCCCAGTGGTGCAGCAGCCGCAGAGGGTCTCGGTCCGAACACCGGTTCTCCCACACCGACACCCCCCCGTCAGCCGAGCCACCGAACACCAGCGGACCCTGAGCCTACGGAGGGCACACAAGGGATACACGGTTGTCATGGTGATCTACCCAGTGTGTGTGTAATAGAGTTAGATACACATACACAGACAGAGAGAGAGAGAGATTGTGTGTGTGTGTGTGTGTGTGTGTGTGTGTAATAGAGTTAGATACACATACACAGACAGAGAGAGAGAGATTGTGTGTGTGTGTGTGTGTGTGTGTGTGTGTGTGTGTGTGTGTGTGTGTGTGTGTGTGTGTGTGTGTAATAGAGTTAGATACATAGAACAACAGAGAGAGTGTTTGTGTAAATGGTAGTGTGTGGACAGTTTTTTGTTTTTTTTAAAATATACGTTTCCGAGCCCCCGTCGGTATTTAAATGGATTGTGCGCTTTGCATGATAAACAACAGCGAGGATGACAATGATGCTCCATGCTTCAGGCATATTTTCATGATTGCAAATTGGAAATGCAGCCCTGGATTTTCAATATTTATAACAAAAAAATAAGCATTTTTTCCTTAAAATATGTACCGTGTGATTTCTAAAATTGGCCGAGCTCCACGGCTTCCATCTAAAAAGATATCTTTGATTTTTCATTTTGAAAGCAACAAACAAGGAGCGCTTCTGTGAGGAAAAGAGAGTAGAGACATAACCGTTTGATTTCCTAAGGAGGGGCTATTTACACAAATTATTAATCAAGACTTCTAAAAAAATGCTTTAGACAGCTTCTTCACAGAGAAGAAACATTAGGGAGGGCTTTTTTTATCGTCAGCTTTTAAAAATAGGCTGAACAGCTTGAGCATCGTCAGTGTGTTGACAGTGCAGAGGTGAGCGACCCGCCCACCTGGATGGAGGTGACTGCTTCCTGGTGAGCGTTGATGGACTGGCAGTTTTGGAAAGTGTGCCAGCTCCAGGCCTGAACTTTCCCCGCGTCTGAGGGGTGACAGAGTGTGAGGTTAACGCGCACTGACAGGCGTCTGGCAGTCATTACTGTCGGTCACGCTCCATACACCTGAGCTGCCTAATCTGTGTGCCTCCATCTCCCTGATTCAGGCCGATAAAAGCTGCGCTACACTCGCTAACTAGATGATATCTACGTACACATTAGCAGGGGTGTTCAGATCCCTTTACTCGAGTAAGAGTACCATGACATGAATACTAAAATACTACGTTATAATAAATGATAGACTAGCATTCAAAATCTCAATGGGCGGTGGTGGCGAAGTCGATAGGGACTTGGCTTGGCAACTGGAAGGTCACCAGCTCAAGTCCCGGAAAGACCAAGTGCTACCGAGGTGTCCCTGAGCAAGGCACCGTTCCCCACACTGCCCCCCGGGTGCCATTCAAAATGGCAGCACACTGCTCCTAACACTAGGATGGGTCAAATGCAGAGAATCAATTTCCCCACGAGGGATTAATAAAAGTCCATCTTATCTTAATTAAGCACAGTACAGTTTCACAGTAAAAGTACTTATTCTGCAGTAACATGGACTCCATATGTGAAATAGTATTGTTTGACATATTGTTGCTTCATGTACACAGTTATGATATAAAAAGGATTGATGTTGAGGACTTTAGTGGATTGGGCATTACATTGAAATACTCAAGCAAAGCACATTTTACTTTAGTACAATACTTGAGCGAATGTTCTTTGTACCTTTCCACCATTGCATGTCAGTAAACGTGTCTCCTCTAAAGCACATACATGTACAGAAGTAGATATCAAATATGACATGATGCTACAGTGTAGCTCTTATTATTTCTGCCCAGTGTGTCCCTGTCTCTTAGTTTCCAAACAGAAACACACCTGATCCAGTGACGATGTAGCCGTCTCCTTCTGGCACAAAGCACAGTGCGGTCACGGCGTTGAAGGTGTAGAGAGACTTCACACACTGCCCTGGAGGTGAAGGGAAAATATTATTTTAATTGACTAGACACAGCCCAGCGGTCACACAGGAGCCATGCATTGATTAAGATGCACACACACATACACACACATACCATGTATACATCACTTCAGGGGACATTACATTGACTTACATGCATTTCCTGGAGACTTATCCTAACCATAACCATAACCAACACATGCCT